TGGCACGAGCAAAAAGACCGAAGTGGTCGACCGAGCACAAGGCTGGGCCCGTATGCCTAGGTAGTAGCTTTGTCCCTAGTCGTTTCACACTGGTAGCGGAGCCTGCGGGCTCGTAGTTCTTTGTGCTATGGCTGTTGCTGGGGCCGACGTTGGGCCTCCTCCAGGGTTTGAAGAAGATGATCGGGAGCCGAAGCCAGCTCCTCCTGAAGTACCTCCTGAACCGTCGTTTAGGGCAAAGCCTGACAGTTACGCACCTCAAGGCGAACCAAGCAGTGGCCTCGAAGAGCAGTCTCGTCGAGGCAGTGGGCAAGAACGTCAGGAGACCACTCGCAACGAGTGGCGCGACTCCGACTGGAGTACCGGGGATAGATGGCAAGCCTCGGGCTGGGGAGATGCCTGGGACAGTGCCAAGAACGACGACCCATCCGTTGGCTGGGGCCGGCGGGCTAGCTGGGAGTCAGCGACTACAGGAGTGCCTAGATCAGGTGGTGAAGGCAACCGGAGCAGAAAGTGGGATGACGACCCGTGGGACGGGGGATGCGACCCGTGGTCGAACCGAGGACGGCGAGGCGATCACCGTGAACGACAAGGGTGGCCCCGGGCCGATGGTCGAGACAGCAGGTCAGGCGAAAACGATCCGCCGGACCATCGACGTCAATGGTGGGATCTTGGAAGCGATGATGTTGGCAAAAAGGGGCAATGGACCGACGACCACGGAAGCTTCACCTCTGGAGGGTTCGAGGACTACGGCGTCGCATGGAGTGGATGGAGTCATTTTGGCAATGGTGGCTTCAAGGGAGACTCCGTTGATCGTGGACCTGGTGGAAGGACGGGACAGGGCCGCCCCTCAGAGCGGTTGAGCGTTCCAACCTTTCATGGCGACGACTCCGAGGACCTCGGAGGATCGCGAAGAACTTTCCGTCGCAAAGCTCGCTTCTCCTGGAGGCGTGTCCTACTACGTCTCCTGGATCACTGCGAGGTTTCTCGACTTAGAAGTTGCCCGCATAGGAAAGGCGTTCAGTGACTTCTTCAGGCGTCTTCGTCGCAAAAGTGGACAGAGCATTCGAGAATATAATACAGAGTATGATCGACTTTACGCTCGTCTACGCGAAGTGGGGTGCCAGCTACCTGAAGATTGCGCTGCTTGGCTTTACATAGATCGCCTACAACTTGAAGAAGCGCAAGAATTGAACCTTCTCGCGAGCGTGGGCAATCAATACAGCCTCCACAAGCTTCAGCAAGCTGCGGTGCTACATGACCGCGGGCACCGGAAGCCATGGGAGCAAGGAAAAGGGAGAAAAACCCATACGGCTCATGTTACCAGCTGCGGTACGGGCGACTACAGCGACTCCGAGGATGATGGCGAGTTCGGTGATGGAGTACCTGAAGAAGTAGCACAAGCGTTCCTCACCTACCAGACGGCGAAGAACCGGTACAAGGAGCAGGTCAAGAATCGGGGTTACCAGGCCAATGGAAAGGACGACAACGGCGAGCGCGATGGCAAGCGAGATGGTGGTGGACAGGGCCGAGATGAAAGGCTCAAGAAGCTGAAGAGCAAATCTTATTGCGCAAGCTGCGGCCGCAAAGGGCATTGGCACAAAGATCCCGAATGTCCGAATCATAAAGGACCTGGAGGCGCTGATGAGAAGAACGTTCGCGGCGTTGAAGTTTGCCACCATGTCCCGGCTGAGGTGATGACCTTGAAACACGAAGGGGAGGCTCTGGTCGGGATTACCGATACTGCATGCGCTAAGTCAGTGGCAGGGACAAGTTGGTTGCAGCGCTATTCCGACCTCGCCTCAAAGGTCGGTGAGAAGGTCGACCTTGTGAAGGAGTGCGAGGCCTTCCGCTTCGGAACTGGGAAGATTCACTACTCGGCCTTCAACGTGAAGATTAAGTTCACTCTCGGTACCAAGCTTGTGTGCCTCAAGGTTTCAGTTATTAATGGGGACGTACCTCTGTTGATGTCGAAGAAGGCCTTGGCGCAGCTCGGGATGATTTACGATGTGGCTAGGAACACTGCAGACTTTTCAGAGGTCGGTCTCAAGGGATTCGTTTTGCTGCAGACCACCTCTGGTCACCCAGCTATTCCGATCTGCCCGGCAAAGGCCGGCGAAGCAGGGGATGAGCTGGTTTTGGCAGACAGTGGACCCACGGCCGAGCAGCAATACACGGCTTTCGTTGTCAGTGATTTTGTCCCCTCGACCCCTAAGCCCTACAAGATCTTCTACGACAAAAAGCTTAGCCCCGAAGTCAAACAGATGCTTACCCAAGACTATCTGTCCGAAGCCTCCTTCGTCACCTGGTGGAACAAAACGAACATCGACAGTGACTTCTGGGTAGAGGGAGAACTTGCATGGCATCGTGTACATGTTACCCCCAGGCGCAGTTTGTTCAGTCCGTTCTTGTGGAAGACACATGGCACCGTGCAGACGGACATGTTGTTGTCGTGCATCGGGAAGTTTAGGGTCACGGAGGGTTTCTGCAGCAGGACCGGAAAGCCTCTTGAAAGCGCAGCTGATGTCGTTGAGCACGGATGTGAACAACCGTCTTTTCCGCTGTTTTGGTTCGGCAGAACAACTTTTGCGAAGGCCACATCGCATCTAGATTCCCTTCTTCCTCCTCGCGCCTCTGAAGGTCATGAGCAGCTCTGCATGGCGACCTCCGGCCATCAGCAAGATGAACAAGGTGCAGTTGCTCGAGGAAGCAAGCAGGTGTGGAGTGGTAGTTCACCACCGCTGGACCATCGAGGAGATCAAAGCAGCGATACAGGAGCACCGCATGGAGAACGACCCCACGACCGTGATGAAGTCCATCACCAACCTCACCCTCGACGAGCTGAAGGCGAAGGCCAGAACGCTGGGAGTCGTGTTCGGGGACAAGGTAACGAAGGGGAATCTCATCCGTCTCATTCGCGACCACACGAACACCCCGGACCAGGAGTTGATGAAGATCGGGAAGTTCAAGGGGTTCGAGTTCGGGGAGATCCCGGAAGCTTACGGAGCTTGGGCCTCCAAGGAGATTCGGGTGAGCTCGGCGCCACACCCAGAACTGGTTCGCTTTGCCAAATGGTACGACGCGAAGAAGAGCGGCACCTACGCGGGGACCGACTTCAGCGAGGAGAGCTGCGCGGTTCCGTTTCCGAGGGAACTGGCGGGACCCTCATCGAGCACGGGGTCGGCTGGATCTGTGGACTGGAGCGTGGTGCAGGGGATCGACGACTGGGGAGCACAGACGGCAACCTACTCGAAGACGATGGCATCCCCGGTCAAGCGCCGGAGCGAGCAGGAGGACACTGCGATGAAGATCGACCCGGACAAGACCCCCGAGGAGGAGATCGCGGACTTGGAGAAGAGGCTAGCAGACCTCAAGAAGAAAACGGCAGCCGCGAAGGGGTACCCCAGAGCCCCGGCAAGCGGAGCGAGGACAGCCCAGACCACCTTCCGTCGTGATCGATGGGCACCACGATGAGGACTCGGCGCCTATCTTCCTGGGCGAATCTCGCCCTGGGCGCCGACAGGCCTACGACAACTCGTATGATCGCGAAGGCAACCAATTTGGGAGTAAGACCATCGTGAAGGAAGCATGGTGTTGCGGAGGGAAAAGGCATGATCAACCCGGAGAAGACTTCATTGCGGATGGCGACTTCGCAAAGGGACACTGTAACCAGCACGGCGTCTACGTGAACAACCCCCAACTACCCGGACATGCCCAAAGACCACATCTACAGCGAGCTCTCCGTGAATGCGACTACACCTTCAACACCATCCAGAAAGTCCTCGACGAGACCAACATCAAGCTACAGCGCAACACTAAAGGAAAAGCCCTTGGTTCCTCAACTCACGAGGTGCTGTACCAGACCCTTGGACTCTACACCCACGGGGGCGTCTTCGGTGTCACTACGAGGACGAAGTCCGACGAGGACCTCGCCCGTTACCTCAACGCAGCCGGTCGTCATCTACTACCAGAAGGAGCAAAGTGCATGGTCGTCAGTGACCATTACCAAGGGCTGCCAAGCAGAGCCACACCACGACTACAACAACATGAGGGACAGCGAGAACTACGTCTTCACCGTTGGTGGGAAGGACCCTGGCTATGCATGGATAGAGACGAAAGGCCTCGACGAGACCGGAGCCGAGGACAAGCGCGTCAAGTGGAAGAACATCAGCGGCAGAGGTTGGACGCCCGGGCATCTTCACCGCACCCTCAACAACGTGATCCACTTCGACCCCTTTCTGAAGCATGCGACACATGAGTGGGACCAGGACAAGTGGTGTGTTGTGTATCACACCACCAAGAGCGCCAAGGACATCTCCCCGGAGCTCAAGAAGTACCTCAAAAACCTTGGGTTTCCCGTTGGGCACTCCGTCGCGCCTGGGCGGAATAAGGACGGAGCTATGCCAAAGAAGAGCACCAGGAAGACGATCTTCAACAACGCCGCCAAGATCAGCGTGATGCTGGCCTCTCTGGTGGCAGCTACCGACTCCTACCTCAACCGCGGGGTTTTCGCCCAGAAGGTGCAGTCTCCTATCGTCATGTTCGAGATCGGCGAGGTCTATGGAACAGAAGATGCAGTAAAGCTCGACAAAGACGTCTTCGAGCCCATGACCTGGGAAAGCTACCACACGAGCGAGGGCAAGGAGACTGCATACCACATCGTACACGGAGGATACCCACGGGAGCTACGCATTAGCTTGAAAGGCAAAAGGGCTGGAGACAACCAGGCACTTCGAGAGCTTGTCGAAGTTCAGATCGGCAACGGTGGCACTGCGGTAGTCATCGGCGACAGCGCGGACGACTTCTTCGAGATCATGAAAAAGGATGGACTTGATCCCCTTCATCGCCGGTTCTGTTGCAAGGACGAGAACGAGATCACCGTCGTCTACTACAAGGAGAAGACCAGTTCGCGAGGAATCGCCGGAGCCGACAGAATACATGAAGTATGTGTAGTCGATGATGGAGGACAAGGCAAAGGCAGGCTTCATCCTCTTGGAGGCTCGGCCATCAAGTTCGAAAAGGACACGCCCCCAGCAGTGGCCGCTTCTCTTCGGCGACTCCATCAGAATTTGGGACACCCTCGTCGTGAAGATCTTCTACGTCATCTACGACTAGCCGGATGTAGTGAAGAAGTCTTGAAAGCGGCCAAGACGATGACTTGCGACGTCTGCGCAGCCACTGGTGGCCCAAAAAGTCAGCGACCTAGTGCTCTTCCTCACATGCTCGACTTCGGTGATGTTCTTGGGATTGACATCTTCTATGCGCACGATGCCGATGATGTGAAGCACACTTTCCTTTCCGTCGCGGACTATGGAACGACTTTTCATCTGGTCATGCGAGTGGACGGACAATCTGCCAGCGACATCGAAGAGGCATTCAACATGCTTTGGATAGTCCCCTATGGAGCTCCGAAGACAATCGCCGTCGACCTTGACGGTGGACTACAGACTGGGCTGGCCAGGCTTTGCGACTGGCATGGGATAGAGATTAGGAGCGTCGCTGCCCAAGGACACTGGCAAGCCGGAGTTGTTGAACGGCAGCAAGCATGGTGGAAGAGCGTCTGGGAGAGAATAGTGCACGAGCTCTCCATCACCGAAGATGAGGCCGACATCGCTGTGCCTATCGTATCTGCTGCAAAGAATGACCTTCGCCGTCGGTGCGGATTTAGTCCGTCCCAGTGGATATTCGGAAAAGGGGCACGTTTGCCAGAAGATCTTCGTGACCCCGACAGCGGCGAAAGGGTCACATGGGATGTTACTGGCGAGGCGCGATTCCAACGGCAATCGCTCATTCGGGCATCGGCCAGAGTCGCGTTTCACAAAAGTCAAGTCGATAGCCGCCTCAGAAAAGCTCTTCTTCAGCGTGCACGTACCACCAGCCGCCAGCTCGAGACCGGGGAGTCGGTGCACTTCTGGCATCAAAGAAAGGACAGACGAAGAGGGCAATGGGAAGGACCAGGCGTGATCGTTGGGACAGAGGGAAACAACTACTGGATCTCCCGTGGTGGAAGGTGCAGGCTCAAGGCGCCCGAACACGTTCGTCCTTCCTCCCCCGAGGAGGTTGGGGAGTACTTCGTCATGAAGGAGCTCAAGCGGGAAGTCGAGAAGTTGCTGGAAGGGGACCCGGACGACCCCGAGGTCTTCGAGGACAACGAGGACGATGGAGACGGCGACGAAGGGTTCGAGGACATGGACCTCGACCCAGATGAAGAAGATGAAGGATACGGGGCTGGTGACATCGAGCTTGGCCCTCCTGAGGACCAAGCCGAGGCTGAAGAGATCCTTGGCAAGCCTCCACTCAGGAGGCTGAAGAGGAAGACCAGAGCGGCCGACCTTCCCGACGGCCCCTACAACGCCATGATGCTGAAGACAGACTTGACCCGCCGAGGGGTCGAAAAGCGTAAGGAGAAGGAACTACGATGGGCCGAGATACCGGAGGAGATGAAGAGCGACTTTCGCGCGGCCGAGGTCACCCAGTGGAAAGAGCATCTGGCCTTTGATGCTTTGGCGCCATTGGATGCCAAGCAATCTGCAGAAGTCAGAAAACGCGTGGACCCCTCGAGAATCCTGAGGAGTCGCTGGGCGTACAAAGACAAAAACTATGCCCGACGACGAGAAGGGGAACAGATTGGCTGGAAATGCAAATCGCGTCTTGTTATCGCAGGACACACCGACCCCGACCTCGGGGTGGAGACACTGTCGACAGACGCTCCGACTCTCTCGAGAGCCGGACTTGCTTGCCTGATGCAGAAGGTGGCGAATGGATTGGCTCTAGATGACCCTTGGCACATGGGAGCAGGGGACATCCGCTGCGCCTTCCTCACCGGGAGCTACCTCAAGAGAGAGCTCTATATCCACCAGCCGGCCACTGGATTCCCAGGGATGAATCCCGGGGACTTGGTGAGAGTGAAGAAGAATGTCTTCGGACTTGCAACCTCGCCGCACGAGTGGTGGCTGGACCTCCAGAACGGCATCTATGAGACGCAGATCAAGATTGACGACAAGGAGTACCGGTTCGAGCAATGCGCCCTCGACCCCTGCATCTTCATGCTTAAGGAGTACGTCAACGATACCTACCTTGGCACCCCCAAGGCCTACATCGGGTGCCATGTTGACGGCATCTTGATCGCCGCGCCAGGGTCGCTTATGAAGGCCATACAGAGTGGGCTTTCTGCCACCTTTCCAATCGAGAAGTGGGAGGATGACGAGTTCGAGTTCCTCGGATCGAGTTTCAGTATCCGCGAGCAGCAGGTGTGCATCGATCAGGAGAAGTACGCCTCAACCAGACTATTTGCCCTCGACATCCCCAAAGGAGTCTCCGAGGAAGAGCTGGCACCTCCCGAGCTGATCGCAGACAACAGGTCACTGATAGGAGCGCTTTCATGGATGTCGGCCCAGAGCCGACCAGACCTGACATGCTCGGTGAGCATGGCGCAACAGCTACAGCAGAGGCCATGCTATGGAGACTTGAAGTTCACCAACTCCGTCGCCACCAAAGCGCACGACTACAAGGGCAACAGACTCAGGTTCAAGGCCATCGACGAGAGCAGGATGATGATCATGTGTTATCACGACGCAGCCTCGGCCAATGTACCCGAGCCGGACAACGAGGAGACCTACTACAAGCTTACCGACGAGGACGACAAGGCAGGGTTGCAGCGCGAGGCTCCGGAGTCCTACTACCGTTGTGGAAGAAAGGCGAAGCGTGGAGCTTCAAGAGTAGCTTCTCAACTTGGGTGCTTGGTGCTCTTCGCGGACCGAGGGATGATCAGCGGAGAGCCGGGGACTTTCAGCATTGCGGATTGGAAGTCGAGAGCGGGGCAGAGAGTGTGCAGATCAACATTCGGCGCAGAGACACAAGCTTGCGTCGAGGGATCGGAAACGGGCCAGTACATGAGATCGATGTATGAGACGCTCAAAACAGGCCAGCTCGTAAGCGTTCCTCAAGCAGTGATGCCCATTTTGTGTCTGTCGGACTGCCGAAGCTTGTTCGATCATCTGACACGACAGGGTGTGCCTCGGGTGCCAAGCTACAAGCGACTGGCAGTCGATTTAGCTGCTTTGAGGCAGTCGCTTAAGTCTGAGAGAATCAACTCTCAGCTTCCAGTAGCGTGGATCCCTGGCGAGACCCAGTTAGGAGATGTGCTGACAAAGCCTCAAAACCCCGCCAGCTGGTGGGAAAGAATTCAGAGGCCACTTTTGATCCCCATCGGCATAGCCGACGAGGGATGCTTAATCAGTGACAAAGCTAGGGGATCGGGAACCAGTGTGAAACCAGAGGTTGTTATCGATTTCAGCAGTGCTATGCCGTATGAGTTTTTCATCGAGACCGATCCCCGAAGCTAGTCACGAACCAGACCGCACCTGGCAGGCTACATCCGGAAGGCTTTTGGCACGAGCAAAAAGACCGAAGTGGTCGACCGAGCACAAGGCTGGGCCCGTATGCCTAGGTAGTAGCTTTGTCCCTAGTCGTTT